TCATCTACCACCCAATCTTCTAAAATATTAATATGATGATCTTCAATTGGGTCAAACTTTTGAATTTGTCTCTTACAAATTATTATTGCAAATGACAAAGTAAGATGGAGTGACACAAGAAATTAGAAATATATTAGGTACTAATAAATAATAAATAATTTGCATTATGAAACATAAAATGCATACCCATCCATCAAATGCAAGTTACAATGAACGTATACAAGATCATTGAGCTTTTGATGCTCCAGCCTATTCTTTCTCTTTGTGTGAATGCATTCAAAATACTCTAGTTACATTCACAACCAGACGAATTACAAGTTTGACTAAGAATCTGAACAACAACTCTTGTAAGAATTAGGACACCACAACCAAACTTCATCCATCATTCACCTAGAAATTACATAGATGATAGAACCAAATAAATAAAATGAAATAAGAGATTATATAATAAAAACAAAATAACAAACATGTCATAAGAAAGAAAACAACTATTACCTGGAGCCATTCTCTTAATCGCTTTTAAAGCCATGTCCCTCCCAAGATCACCAAGACGAGATTCAAAAAGAGAGAGCTCTTTGTTGATCTGTATTTTCACATCTTCATCTTTATCTATGAGCCTTTCAATGACATCAAGAACAACTGACATAACGGTTGGGGTTTTAATTTTTGAATTTATATCATATTGAAAGGCTGGATTGAGATAATAGCCTACAAGATGAAGATTTTGACCCATTTGTCTATTTCATCTTTTTTTCAACAATCTGCAAAACTGGGCCATATTCAGATCTCATATTATGGAACTATTTTTAATTGCTTCCTTTGCTTTCAACATGATATGGTACATATACCTCATTGCAGGCCTCTTGTGTGAATCAACAATTCTCAATGTACTAACAAGTGGTGATGTGAAATCCATAATTGTTTTGCATAATTTCTAAAAAATAGGATCCAATACAATCTTTATCACTTTTCTCCCCTTTGCATCTATTGCATATCTAGATTCATTGAAATTTCTATCAGTCACCAAATATTGCAGATTATGCATGTGCTTCAAAATACAATCTAATGCAATGAAACTAATTGCAAAGCTGGTGGCTCTAGGGCGCACTATCTTTGTCCATCCATGTCTCTTCCTTAGCATTGGTAATACAAAAGTATGATTGTATGCAAACTTTGTTATTTTAGAAGTACGTCGAATCACATCTTTAATATAATCAATCTCTGTAATTTCCTTTAACATCAAGTTCAAGCAATGTGTTGCACAAAGTGACAAAAAATCCATGAAAATTCTTCTTCCAATAATCTTCTTATAGTTACATAATTTGATGCATTATCTGTGACAACTTGAACAACATTTTCAACCTTAATCCAATCTATAACTTCCTTGAACAAGCGAAACAAGTTATCTGCACTCTTAACCATGTCAGAGGCATCCATAGACTTAATAAATGTAATTCCTCTAGAATAGTATGCCAAAAAGTTTATCAAAGTCTGATTACGTGTATCTATCCATCCATTAGTCATTATGGAACAACCAAATGATCCCAACTCCCTACGAAGTTTATCAGTAAACAATTGAACCTCATTGAACAAATTTCTCAACAAATTAGTCTTGCAACTATAGTTATATAACCTAGACCAATACTAGCAATTGCATCCAATATGGGTTGAAAATATTTTGAGTTAATAGCATTCAAAGGAATGCAAGCATCACACATTCATCTCATAACAACACGATCTACAAGTTTAACTATTGTCTTAGATGCTAATGTACTCTTAATGGATGGTTGTGCACCTAGAGTGGTTCGTGGAGCAAAATGGTTAGTTATTAGTCTTGCAAGTGCTTTCCTCTTTCCTAAGGGTATATTTGACTTTTTCCCTTAACTACTCAAATTCTCCCCATCTATATCAGATGGATGCACTTCCCTAACATCAACATCATCACTTGTTTCAGAATCACCCAATCCAAGTTTAGAGCTAGAAGCTTTTTTTTTTTCTTTTCAATAATTCCATCCAACAACTGCTCCGTTTTAAACTTGACATCATATGGTACTTTTCGACAAACTGCAATTTCTCCTTTTCTTTGTGCAAGATGTTGTTTCATCCTATTAATGCCTCCCCCTTTAAAAGTCTTTTGATAATACATGCATGACATTGACTTTGCTCCACTAATAGGATCTACTTTAAGGGTGACATGTTCCCATGTAGGATTAATTTTGGCCATAACATTTGAGGAGGTCGACTTAGTTGTTGGTTGTGGATCAGATTGATCATTTTTTGTGCTTTCTTCCATTTCTATTCAACAAAAGAATCACAAACACCCATCAACCAAAAATTAAACTAAATAACCAATTCAACTAAACAACTAAAAATTAAACAACCAATTAAGCTCAAATATATGAATAAATGATTACACAATTCAACTGAACAACCAAAAATTAAGCAACCAATTAAACTCAAATATATGAATATATGATTACACAATTCAGCTAAACAACAAAAAATTGAACAACCAATTAAACTGGAATATATGAATATATGATTACACAATTCAGCTAAACAATCAAAAATAAAACTAAAAGCTAGCTAAACAACCAAAAACTAAACTCAAAAACCGAAATATATACTATCAAACAAATCAAATGAAATTGGGCTAAAGTACTTTACCTTCTTGAGCATTTAGATTTTAGAAAACTAGCTAAAGAGCCGGAAATACAAGATTAACCGATTCAAGCATACCAACAAAGCATGATGCATGATATAAAATCCAAATTTTAAGGCTTTAAGCTTCAAATAAGATAGAAATATACCAGTTTAAGCTTCAAATCAAAATTGAAAAACAAGGGATGTGATTCTTAGATTCTGTAGTGGCTCTTAGTTCCAATGGAGTGGTCGCCGGCACAAATGGTGGTTTGGTTCCTTCACAAGAAAATGAGAAATCATAGTATTGCAAAAAAAAAAAAAAGAGTTAATGGCTTAATGCATAGATCAAATCATTCAAATGACTAAATGAGAGATCAGAGAAAAAAACACACTTATTTACCTGAAATTTGAATAGTCATCACTGTACTCCTTCTAGACTGGTTGGCGGCAGCCGCAACGAAGATTGGTTGCCGAAGGTTGGATGTCAATAGTGGTTGTCGCTGTCCCCTTCAAGAGATGTTGTTGAGCAATTCCTTTCAAGATGTCATTGAGTTGTTCCTTCAGAGATGTCGAAACTTTGGACGTTGGCGAGTGCTTGTTCAGATTTCGGGAAGGAAGGTGCCGGTGTGTCGCCACTGTCTTCTTCGGTGAAGGCTTGAAGGAGTTTTGGGCTTTTGGGTTTGGCAAAACAAAACCCTAGAGGAGAGTCATCGAAGGTAGATAGGAACTTAGGATATGTTTGTCATTTTTTTTTGTTTTATTTTTATTTTAAAATAAAATAAAAAATACTAAACCGCTAACCGTTGCCCAGGTCAAATGGGTCAATGGTTCGACCATTCGGGTTGACATTTCTTTTACTTTTTCAATGGTTTTGCACTAAAAAACGGTTTGGAGTAAACCTAGAACTGTTTGAGTGATTAGTTTCCGGTCCAAACGGTCCTACCGTTCGAATCAATGACGGTTCAAAAACGTTGACCTGGATAAATCTTTCCTGAAAAACATTTACTAGGGATAAGTAACTTGTCAAAAAGCGAACAGTTGTAGAGGGCTGGGACCTCGTACATTGGAGTCATCACTCGTCAAAGTTTCTTGACCTGAAAATCATGCCTTACCATTAGGGGGTGTCAATTGGACTGGATTTGGTCCAATCCGGTCCAGTCCAATGTGTGTCCATTACAAATGGACGTGGTGCAATCCAGTCCAATGAATGTTTTGGATCATTTTGGACCGGTCCAGAGACTGTTCAATCTGTTCAAATTCCTATTAATTTAGATGGTTTCAACTCAAACCTGGTCTATTGACACCTATGTTCTTATATTCTATCAATGGACCAGATATTAGCTCAATCCAATATGTTATATTGGTCCGTTCAGTCCATCCAAATTTAACATGTCTTATTGGTCCGTCCAATCTGTCCAAATAGATATTGATTTGGATGGAGTCCAACCCAAAACCGGTCCGTTGACACTCCTACTTACCATACCAGTTCACTAGAACACAGTAGCATACATACCTCCAACCTACTGCATGCAACTCAACCCTTTGCAAATTTTCTCTGGTTCTTCCGTGAAAGCAAGATCTATGCTGTGCGCATAGAAACCATTACAGCTTCCGCTGCATTTGCTTGTTGGGCTGGGCAGTTCCTCGTCGAGAAAACAAACGAAAAGCTGAAAACAATCATATAGGCTGCAAGCTTCATGGTTGGTCGTGCACATAACAAGTCCAAAGCCCAAAGGGTTGAAATGCTTCTGTAATTTTGTGGTATTCATGCTCCGTTACAACATATACACCTCAACCCTGGCCTGGACTCCTCACCAACATCATCGATCTCTTTGTACCTTTGACTTGTGATAACCAGGTCCAAGTAAATTTCTACCGTTAATCTCCTATTTTGTTGACTTTTTTTTTTATGATGAGCAACCGTCAATTTGCAATTTTGCACTGAAGGCTTAAGGAAAATTTGATTAAGGTAACAGAAGCTTGAAAGGAAAAGAATGGAAGCATTAGTAAACGCACCAGGGTTGGGGGATGGGCCGGTGGGCCCCCGTTGTGTATCCGCATGGAGCCAAAGAAAAAGAAAAAAAAAGGATCGCCAATCGCTGAACCCCTCCCTCCATCCCAAAGAAAAAGAGAGAAGGGGTTTTAACTGTTCAATCCACCCCTACAAATATCTTAGCTCCACCCTAGGGGTGGAATGAATCCTGACCGTGGATTGAACAGTTTGGCACAAAGTCCCCCTCTCTCTCTCTCTCTCAGATCTTCTGTTTATCAGGTTTTTAATTGGTTTTGCATAACAGCTTCAATTTACACATCTCTCCCTCCCTCCCTCTCTTTAAATGTATCAACGACCACAAAAATAGTGAAATAGGTTTCCTTACTATGACAACATGATCAATGACACTATCACAGGCTTTACAACATTTGTGTGTGAAATACTGAAATTATGAACGCATACATTCATCAAAGAAAGCGGTTGGATGGGTAGTCCAGCGAGATACCACCCCTTCAAAATAAGAATGCCGTCGGAGAGAATGCTGGAATGACCGTCGGCATCGGAGATCGCCTGCAACCACCACAAATTTCTCAATTAATTCAGCAAACCAAGCGCGATTATGCATATAACCTATCCAATTACTAGAGTAAATAAACAAGATATTGCCTCTTAACATTCACAGGCACAAAGTTTTGAGGGCAGTTAAGTAGGGCCGGAGACATTTGTCCTGCCTCCCGTAACATTCAGTGATTGATTCGAATGCATATGAAGTCAAAAGAAATCTTATCAGTTTTGTTGAAATGGCACTTTCTCATCATAATATGCTTTTACTCATCAAAAGCAGAAAGAAAATTTTATATAAATAAATCATAATCTCACCCATTTTCAGCTGTTGACGCTTGACGTTCTAACTAACTTATAAAACTCTTATTACTGTTGAACGTATGCCGGAAAGACATACCGGAAGAGCTTTGACCACTCAAAACCCCGGTGAATTTTTACGATTATTAGAAAATGACTAAAGTATCCCTCTCTAAGATTGAAATAGGATTTGAAAAATAAAAACAAAGAGAAATGCCTAAAGTTGGCAGGAAAAAGACTCCAAATTAAACCAGTTGACGATTTTTTACTCCGATGGTCCAAAAAAACCCACCCAAAGAGTTTAGAAGATCCAAGGCTACTGTGGTCAATTCGGATTCCATTCTTCTGGGGGTAAAAATTTTCGAAGAATGAAGAATGAAGAATCAGAAATCAGTCGAGGAAATTCAGGATTATAAATACGTAGTAAACAAACAACGTGGTGGAATTTCATGCACAAAATATTAAAATACAAGTAACCAAGCGACACTAATTCAATTTAAATGCATACAAAAATGACTCGACTGCCTCTTTGATCATATCAAGGGTGGTGGTGTTTGGGGGGAGGGTATTCAGTATTCAATCGTCATCCAACAACATCCAAACAGAGTCGTACTGTTAAGGAAAAGGGGTTATGAATTACCGATATTCGTCACTGTAGCTACGGACGCGGGCCTTGACCCTGGATCCAGCCTTCCTCGCCGCTTTCTTGCCGGATTTGACCTTTTGTTCTGCCTTAGTGACCACGGCGGCGATGACGTTGTCCTCGGAAATTGCACAAAGCGAAGGGCGCCACTGAGTTGTCGAGATCGAGTTGGTGCGTTTTGTGCAAGGGAAACGCTCGGTCACTGTTGTAACCGATGATCGGGATTGCTGCACCAGAGAGCGGGTCTCTTCGCGCGGTGGAGTCGTTGCCACCGCCGGACGTGCAAATGGGCCACAGCAGGAAATCAAGTTCCGCAAATTCCGCGAGAACCTCATCTTTCTATTGGCCGGCCGGAAAGTGAAACGGCAAGAGGAAAAGGAGAACCACAAGTCAGGGAAGGAGGAAGGGATGAGGAATAGCTCACTTTGTCAGTATCTACAACTTCTTCCATCTTCGAACTGTACCAACTTTTTTCATTTTTCTTGGACCTTCTTCTTCTCTCTGTATATTATGTATCTTCGTTTCTCTCGGACACACGGAAAACTGAGAAACAGTGCTCTCTAGAATCCACGGGTTATGAATTTTGATGACACGCCGACAACTTATATAGAAATAATTTTATTTTATTTCTCCCACATGTTGAGGAGGTTTTATCATTATCCCATGTTTAACAACTAACCAAAATATCTCATCTTATTACTGACAATGCCCTCGTCATTCCGAGTTCTGTTTTAGATCGAGGCTAGGTAGTGGTAATATCATAATTTCAGCTAAAATGATCGGACAAAAATGTCCAGGGGAAGACGGCTAATTGTATTGCTTAGATGTGGATTCGGAAGATAGGCGACTTTATTTCTAATTAATTATTTAACTAGCGAAGGTCCCTGATTCGCATGGGTTGGAATTGCAATATTGTTATTTAAATTCGCAATCGCAATTATAACTATCCACGTATTGAAACTTATAACAGATCATTATGTCTTCGTTTTTTAAATATTGTTTGCTGACATTTCATATAAAAAATTAATATCATCATACATATCCTTGGTTTTATATCGAGAAATCTCAGTTGATTTGAATAGTAAGATCGAACCGTTTAGGCAATCAGTTCCATTTTACCTTAAGTTTGGTATTTGGCTAAAAATCGTTAAATTAATTAACGATTCGATATAGGAGTCAATTTGTTTAATGGTTTTTGGTTATTTTTATTTTTTTTATTTTTATTGTTAGAATTAGCCATCCGTTCAAATTAGACGATCGAATCGTTGATATAGAAAAAAAACAGAAAATCAAGTTCAAAATTTTGCTTTGAAATGGAGCTAAACATACATGCATGCAATCAAAGAAAGAGACAAAAGCAAATCATCTTGTAAGAAAAAAAAAATATTACATAAGAAAATCCAAAGAAAAAACAAAAGGAAAGAAATAAAATGGTAGTAAATCCTAGACCGTTTTAGAGTATCTTGAAGAAGAAGATCAAATATAAAAAAAAAAGTAGAAATTGAAAAAAAAGGAACATACTGCACACGCTCGAATATAGTCAATAGTAAAAGAAACCTTTGAATAATGAAAATCCAAAAGCACAAAAAACCATGGTTTTAGAACCGCCATTGACCCGGATGGACGGAGATTTCGGCCCGGGAACCGTCTAGGCAACCAGTTTCGTTTTACCCCAATCCCGGTCCTTGGCCAAAAACCGTTGAATCACTCAATGACCCATTGACCTGGGCAGTCGAACTGTCGACCCGTTGACCCATTCAATGGTTTTTGATCGTTTTTTTTATTTTTTTAATTGGGAATCGTCCAGGAAACCAGTTCCATTTTATCCCAATCCCGGTCCCTGGAAAAAAAACCATTGAATCGGTCAACAACCCATTGACCCAGGCGGTCGAACTGCCGACTTGTTGACCCGTTCAATGGTTTTTGGCCATTGTTGTCAGAATGGGCCATTCGTTCGAATTGGATGGTCCAACTGTCAACTCGAAAACCAGTAGTCATAACGGTTCCATTTTTCGGGTCGTTTGAGTTACGCGCTCGAATGACATCACACGTATGATATTGCTTAATAGACCTCATACAATGAATATTTTGCCTGTAATTTTTGTTGTCAGAACGGGCCGTTTGTTGAATTGGATGGTCGAATTGCCATTTTTTTTTTAATTGGGAATCATTGAGGCAATCGATTCCGTTTTACCCTAATCCTAGTCCCTAGCCAAAAACCGTTGAATTGGTCAATGACCCATTGACCCGAGCAGTCGAATCGTCGACCTGTTCAATGGCTTTTAGCCGTTTTTTATTTTTTATCTTTTGTTGACAGAATGGGTCGTTCGTTTGTTCAAACTGGATGGTCGAATCGTTGACCCAAAAACCGGTGGCTAGAACGGTTCCGCTTTCAGGTCATATGAGTCACGCACTCAAATGACATAACACGTATGATATTGCTTAATGGACCTCACACACTCAATTTTTTCCTTGTAATTTTTGTTGTCAGAACGGGTCATCCATTCAAACTAGAACGATTCTATAATTTTTTATTTGTAATTTTTATTGTCAAAACCGACTATTCATTCGAATCGCACAGTCGAAGGAGAAATATTAGATGTTACCGGTTCTACAACGCTTATGGTGTTGCTTGTAGGATCTCTGCATCTACCGCGTTGATTATACCCAATAAAATATTATCTTTGCTTCTTGATTCAGTCGGAAGCCACCAGACATTTATCTATTGGAAATGCTAGCCTTACATCGTTTTCCGGTTGCAGAATTTACTACCACATTACTACGCGACACGTGTGAGTCAACTCCAGGCTACTTGTTAAGAAGGTTCAACCCCGGATTTGGTAGCATTCCGTGTGCGCTGTTCAACAACCTGTCCAATGGGTAAAAGTTGTGATATCGCCAGAAAAAAAAAGAGAATTAATGTATTTTAGGAAATCTTATATATATATATATATATATATATATATATATATATATATATATATANTATATATATATATATATATATATATATATAGGATTGGGATGCTCTCTCCAATTGGAATCTACTCGTGCGAGTAGATTCCCACGTGAGAGCAATCCATTTCCTAATTATTAGATAATTATCTAATTATATAAATATATAATAGTTATTATAAATATTGTTAATCCCATTTCCCATTAATTATATAAATATTGTTGGATATATAATAGTTATTATATATAATTATAAATATTGTTATTATAATTATCTAATTATATAAATATATAATAGTTATTATAAATATTGTTAATCCCATTTCTTATTAATTATATAAATATTGTTAGATAAATATATAATAGTTATTATATATAATTATAAATACTGTTATTATAATTATCTAATTATATAAATATTGTTTATATAATTATCTAATTATATAAATATATAATAGTTATTATATCGAACCGTTCGAACAGTTTTGTTAGAACGGTTGGACCGTTTGACCCGGTAACCGGACCCTTGACTGGTTTGGTCTCTAGGTCAGTTTTAAAAACCATGATGTTATGTCATTTTAGCGTGTGACTCATACGACCCGAAAATGGAACCGTTTTGGCCACCGGTTTTCGAGTTGACGATTCAACCGTCCGGTTCGAACGGATGGCCCGTTTTGACTACAAAAATTAAAAAATAAAAAAACGGTCAAAAACCATTGAACGGGTCAATGGGTTGTTGATTGATTCAATTGTTTTTGGCCAGTGATTGAGATTGGGGTACAACGGAACTGGTTGCCTAGACGGTTCCCAATTAAAAGAATAAAAAAAGGACCACCCATTATGACAACAAAAATTACAAGCAAAAATTTGAATGTATGAGGTCCATTAAGCAGTACCATATATGTTGTGTCATTCGAGCGTGTGACTCATACAACCTAAAAATGGAATCATTCTGGCCATCGGTTTTCGGGTCGACGGTTCGACTGTTCGATTTAAATGGATGGCCCATTTTGACAACAAAAATTAAAAAATAAAAAAATGACCAAAAACCATTGAACGGGTCAATGGTTTGATTACCCGGGTCAATGGATCGTTGACCGATTCAATGATTTTTGGCCAGAAACCGAGATTGGATAAAACGGAACCAATTACCTGAATGATTCTCAATTAAAAAAATAAAAAATGGTCAAAAACTATTTTACGGATCAACAAATTAATGATTCAACTACTTAGATAAATAAATTATTGACTGATTCAATAGTTTTTTACCACAAATTGGATCAACGATTCTATTCCAGCCCCTGCGAAACACGGCACCTCCGCTAGTCAAATTTTAATGAATTAGGAGGGCTAAAAAAATTAGAAATACAGGACCTTAGTTATACATGTGTTTAGGTAGGTCATAGTTGGTGTGGCTTCATTTGACAATTTCTTTGTATGTAGTGATTGTGATATTGTGATTCGCTGCCTCATATTTACGTGACAGTCATCCATGCAGCTAGGCCAAAGGCGTCCTTTTTGTTGGCTTCGTGTTTGATGAATCCATTTTTTTCCCAACTTTTCTTCATTAAAACTGCTAACTGCCTCTATGCTTGCCTTACATTCCCTTCTCTAGTCCCTACTCTACAGTCTACATTATTATCACATGGACATGGGCACATGGGCTTCAATGTGCTACTTCAGTAGTTTCAGATCTTTAGGGTGCATTGGATGCGATGTAAATTAATAATAATTTATATCGATTCCGTTTTGTATGAATTCGGATGGAGTATAATTTTATATTGATAATCGATATAAAATCTTATTAATTTTAAAATAAGCCATAACCTTCGAGTTCAAATCAGCCCCCCACAAAATTGCCCCCAACAACGTACTACAGCACGTTTCCTCCATGCATTAAAAACATCTCCCAATGATAAATCAAAAATGATGATATCGTCATCGGAAGATGTTTCGAATACATGGCGGGAATGTGCCGTAAACGTCGTGGGGGACAGTTTTGTGGGAGGCTGATTCGGTCTCATAACCTTTTCATAATGGCTTCACTTAATTTGTGGGTCCAACCACTTTCTCTCTCTTTTATGGAGCTCGGAGGCATATTGTCCATGTATCCAATGTTACAAGCTGGGGGTGGGGCATATGACCTCACGATTGTACCAGATGGCCTATCCCTTCCAATTAGATGATCTGGATTTGCCACACGTGGTTATCTAAGAGGAAAAGATTGCCCACGTGGCCCTGTGGGGAAAACTGTCATGGCTGCATCGGCATCAGCCTGATTCCAGCCCCCAAAACACTAAAATCTGGAATCCACACACTTCACAGCCAATGTGAATACGATACGAGCCTTAAACACACGCGACAAATCTAGCTAGAAGGTAACATGAGTGATTCACCTATCCATATTCGGTGGAGTGGCCACGTCATCCTATGTACAAAAAAGCCAATCAAGAATATAAAAACATCCACCTAAAAAACGTTTCCCATAAAAAAGAGTTGAAAGCAATGCCGAATTTTACTTTTTTGTCCTTTATGGTGCTATCATTGATATTTGATAACGTCTGTAGAATTTTGATTCCTGGACGATAAAGTTTGTGTGGACTAAGCCCTAGGGACCTGGGCCAAGAGCCCACG